AAGATCAATTCAATAGAGGTGAGTATTAGATAAAGGCATTATTCGCTTGGGCGAGTCTTTGATGAATATTCCTCCATCATAATGATGTCCTTTTATCCCCATCTTTTTTAACAACCCTAATCCGTTTGAAAATTTTCATTCAACTACAATATGCAAAATTGCTCTTCACACTGTGGTCATATTCTGTGATCGAGTAGTGTTGGATGACAAACTAACCAATCACTATCAATGAAAGGGATTTGAATGAAGTCACTTCTTTCACTTACCTCACCAGCATCATTTCAACTACAAGCGATATAGATGAGAATGTCAGACGCAGAAGGGAAAAGTAAGACAGACATTCGGTACTCTGGAATGAGTATGGAAGTCTTCTAGAATCAGCAAGATTCGAATTTTCAACTGTAATGTAAAATGAGTGCTAATATATGGTTCAGAGACTTAACCCGCACGTAATCGAAAGCATTTCCAATAGCTGATTGAAGACTTTCATTGACAGCTGACTCCGCCCCATGCTGAAGATCAAATGGCCAGAAAGGTTTAGCAGCAAGAATTCTGGCAACGAACCAACCGAGTACCTATCGCCGAACGAATATGTCGAAGGAAATAGAAATGGATTGGACGCATGTTGAGGAGACCGTAGAGTCACATCGAGCGACATGCCCTCGAGCAGAATCCAAATGGGAAACGATAAGTCGGGTCCTAGTTCGAGTATCATATGGAGAAGATAGTGTGAGGAGGAGAAAAGACCTCATGAGCAACAATGGAGTCAGCTAAAGTGGACAGTAGATAACAGGATGAAATGAAAATGTGTGCTTCTGAAGCCTTATGTTCCACTTGGAACCCAACGGAATAACAATATAATATACTATGAGTTTATATTTTGTTTACCATGTTACTACGTGATCGTGCTTATTGATTTCCACCAAAACTTATCTCTTTTAATGTGTCAACATTGTATTTGGTCCGTAGTAATTTTCCTCCCATTGTTAAACGGCATTTACTGTATATTTACTCTTTATGTTCCATCCTCTCTTGAACACTGTGTATTCGAATCCCTTTTTCTTTCTTGTTCTATACACTCGCCCATTGTTTATTGCTACTCAGAACCCAAAGGAATAATATTAGTAAATAAAGAATCTGTATTTGTGTGAACGAAAATATCAAAATGTGTTGGTCACATATTAAAATCACGATCATATGGATGAACTATATATGTATATATATGCTGTTTCATTTCTCTCCATATTTCATTTCCATTCTTTACGTTGTTATTCTCTAATCTCTTTTAGAGTCATACATTTAAACTTTTCCCAGGATATATTGGTTTGTGTGGCAAAGAAGTATGGATTAAATCGTTGAGTACGTTACATAACTCACAATCAGAAAAGAATAATGTGTAAGTTGTTTACTAATTTAAAACAACACTTTGTGTTTTTCTCACTGACTTTCACCAAAAGACATAACAGGCTGGAAAAGAGCTAGCGGAGGTCAAACGAAAACATGGCACCAGTCAATGAAATCTATAACAGTTAGTCTAAGCCACGTAGGAAGGTGTAGACTTCCTGGTTGGGGTCCTCGGGATGGTAAAAACCAATGGTTGGAAACAATTGGTGACATGGCTCAAAATCGTTCTCAATGGCTAGTGCAGATGCATCCACTCCTTGTGACTTATGATTTCCAATGAAACTGTTCTGTTCTTCGTTATTACTATTCCTTTGTCTCACACCTCTGTTTACTGTCTCTATTATGGATTTCTTCTACTTTCTCATGTTGCTTTGTGTGCTACATGGAGTGTGGCGACTTGAACTGCCGCACATTGGTGCAAAGTTCTATGTCGAAAACAGACAGACAAAAGACCTAACAACGAAAGATGACGTAACCGATGTTAATTATCAAATAGATTGCATGAATTGAGAAAAAGACTTCATTAGCCAGGGCAGACTCTCTTCATCTTTGTAGTGATGAACGCAAGATATCAGTTGAAAGACATGACATACATTGGTTCACGTGGACAACTATGGGCATCAATTCTAATGGGATAGTATAAAAATTCCAGGCAGATGAATCTAAAGGAACATCAGTAATCCTTTGAGACTTGATATTCAAATCAATCTGCATAGTTATGTCTGTTTATTAATTAAGTAGTAAAAATGTGTAGATCTGCAATTAATTAGACACAAGAATCCATTCATTTCTTACCGTACTACTTGAAAATGACTTGATTCAAAGGATCCTGTAGCAGTCATCATATCGCGAATATAGAGTGGAGGGAGGGGCATCACTTAAAGTTCATGAGTTGCTGGATCTCAAATCTAGGTTTTTCGTCTAAAAAAATAACCTTTAAACAGAATTCTAATTTCTTCCCAGCAAGTATCCAGTATGTCTTTGGATAAATTACTGTTCAAGACGCAGATATCACTTTTTCTGAAGTTCGTTTCTGTAATATGACTCCTGGTTGTGATCTGACATATTGTAAAAAACCAGAGAGGAAAATTTCCATCCAGAGTCATTTATCTGAATTCAATGCTTCATGATCATTTATCCTACGTAACCGGGATAAAAAAAAATAGATTAAGCCATTCGAATCGTCTCTCTTATGGATATTTGAAAATGACACTTACTTTCTTAGCTAATTGTCAGGGTATAATGGACGCAATAATTATGCTTCAGGAATTTTGTAAGCAGTTAGTCATTATCAACCTCAAATTATAGTATAAGCGTCAGTAAAATTCTTAGACGTTATCAGACACTGTCACTTATTCGCCTTGCTTGTATTGGTCTGGGCTTTTCTTCTTCAGCACTAGTGAAATCAGCAAGTTGTTGCAACCTGTTTGTACTCCTTTATTTTCCATTGAGTTCATTGTCTCTGCGATTGAATGGATTTTGTTATCCCCATTATTTGACATCGAAAACCTACCAGTAAATGTTCCAGAGGGTTGCGCACTGAAAATTCATCCATTCGCTTTTACATACCAATTGTACGTTCATAATGCATATCTAAATAAAGACCTTCATATCTCTTGGGTAAAGATCGTTATTCATCGTCCATGACAACATTATTTGTCATACAAATTTCCATCTGTAATCAAACTAATGGGTTCATGTATCTTTTCATCGAATGTTTAAGCTTTTTTTTACTAACTGTTTAGTTACTGCATTGTAAGGATAGTTTAGGAGATAAAAGTCCTAATTAGAATGAATGGATACGATAATAAGTGTATTTTACACTGTAGACGCTAGATGTACTCATTTGACGTACACCAAAAAAAACAGAACAACTATTCTATAATGCAAAACACGGAGAACGTTTCACAATCGGTACTTTTCGGTAGTGATCTGTGCGGTGTGCGGATTTCACCGTGTACCTTCAGTCTAACCGGTCGACTTAAGTAGTGTATGTCAACACTCAATGTTGAATGATGATGAAGGCTGTAGGCTTATAATTTTATAGAATCATTTCGTGCTACAATGGCCTTTATTTAATGCGGAAAGATTATAAATTTTAGCGTTACATATATCAGTTCCCATTGTTTCATTTGTATTCCGAATGTTGTAAGTTGCTGTGATTAGAGAATTTAGGTTTTTGTGTTCAGTGTTTACATCACCAAATTTTACTACTAGCAGTGAAGTCATAGTTTGAGTTCGACGCAGAACAAAAAGTTAGTCAGTTAATTAGTAGGACTTAGTTTCCCTTCGTGTGGCTATGATCCACAGTTATTGTGTGAGGGGCTGATGAAACGACCCAGTTGCTCAGGTTTAAGTACATGCAGCGAGATTTGAATTCGGGTCTTACTGGCTGAAATTCGATTGCTTAATCCAATGGACTACTACACACTGTGTGCCTATGCTCTCTTTGGTAACGTGGAAATTCGCTTTCACGATTTAATCGAATTGACTTCTGGTGAGGATAAAGGTAATCTCAAAGTGTTTTTGTGCAAGGATACTACAGATATTTCATCTGCATAAAAGATCGATAAAACACTTAAGTGCATGAGATGATATAGGCAGTCGGCAGACAAATTTACCTCTCTTTAATTTCCACCTCCCTGATAAAAATGGGACAGAAGCGGTCAATTGCAACTTTTAATTCTGTCAGCTAGTCAATGTTATCCACGATCTTATTTGATTTTTTAAAGCATGTTTAAAGAAATACTATAATACTGCATTTGGCTGTCTTATGGATAGTTTTACATAGCTAGAAAATCTCTTGTGCTATTTAGCTACTCTGTGTGCGAAAACAGCCTGAGATTATTTTTGTCGTCATCCGATTTTACTTTTTATCACAGCCGAAAGTTATATTGTATAACGTGATCCTTACACCTATATTAATATAAGTATATTGAAAGTTATAAATGATATTGCCTTCCTTTTCCTTTAGATTATATTTAGCTGAATGTCAAATGGATTGTTATTGGAAAGTGATTATTGCTAACTGCATTGGTGATGTATTGACAGAGTTCTCGGTGAGTTTCGCTCAACAGATTTATCTGTTTATATGTTAGTTGTTTTATTCTTTGTCAACAACTTTTTCCTTAATAACACCCATCTTTTACCGAATAAACAAGATGCCCCTATAAATGACCTGGTACGACAGAGCTTGGGTAGACTTCAGTCCTCTTCTCAAAATCCTGTCATGTAACCACACATTCATAGCCTTTGACAGGTAAGTCCTGTTCACTATCTTCACGCATTAGAGGTGTACCTCACAAACGTAAAATTAGTCAATATGAACCTCTGACACTTACGATCGGACTGATGGTGGACATGCAGGTCTACCTGGTTGAGCAGCTGGAAAATCCTGATTCCAAACCTATGATTTACGTGCTCTCCGGAATCCGAACAGATCAAACGATGCATGGACCTGTTTTTGTTAGCAGAAACCATGGGAACCTAGCTCCTGACGCCGATTCACCACCTCGTAGTTCCGACTTCATTTCAAAGGCTCGGGGTGGGAGTGACTTCGGTTTAGGCATTCAAGCAGTATCCTAGCCTTCGCACCAACGATGAGATAACAACTTTTGTGTGATGCATCTCATGGGTACCAAAAGACGCACCACGTTTGTGTTTCAATAATAATGACTAAATAAATAAAATCTTGAATGATGCTGTTATCTTTGCTTCTGTTTTTTCTGGCTTTTAAACAGTTTCAGAATTTATCACTCAGAGTGACTGCCTACTGTGCAGTACTGTTACCTACAAAAGAAGATAATTATTCAAATGTATATTTGATCTTAGCAACATCAGATAATAATTTACATCTTTTACAATGCACAATAAACAATTCTACTCAAATTGTTTCAACACACTGGAAACTGGTAGGCCTAATAGTAATTATTCTGTGCATTTCTTGTACTATCTTTGTATATTTTAAATTCTAATTTTCTGTATTTAGTAAAATAACAAACTGTCTGGTTACTTCATTACTTCATCACTTCGATCGTGATATGGAGTGAACTTCTCACCATCTTGGAATTATTTCTACCTCTATTGAGATAATGTGGTTAGATACACCTAGAAAAAGAATTCCTGTTTTTTTGTCTGGTTCCGGCAAACAATCTATTAAATTTAATTTCAAATTAAGACACGACACAAGTATTGCACAGTGTTTATCAGTGAGTTGGTTGGAAGCAGTTAAGTATTTGAGGCATGAGTTAACTCCAATTTCCCTTCCATGATGTATTAACAATTATTGAAGACCAAAGATAGACGTTTCTTCCTAGCCCGAGGTTGGTCATCAGTGCACAAACACAACTACATGTGAAGTTGAATTTAGAACTACCAGGTGAGGAGATGACTAATTGTGAGATCACTGTTTCAGGATGTTTTATATTAGCATTCTAGTGATCGCATAATATATTTTAGCCAACCTTGCATAAAATCACTCTGGACGTGAGTAACTTTTTGACTGGTTATTTTGTTTTAGCGTTGAGGTTTTAGATTTTGATGGTGATCAACAGAAACTTTGAGATTTGCATTCACGATTACCTGCTAACTTTTATGTAATGAATATCAAAAGGGCACCATCATAGAAAAAAACTTATTATATGACTTTGCTACTTCACTTGTATCTAACAATTTGTAAATGACAAAGATGATCTGTAGCTCAGGTGGACGCTTTTGATATGATTGCGTTCTCTGAGTTGAGTGATTTAATTACAAAGCCTCCATTGTACTTCCAGACAACATCTTCTACTCAAGATTTACTGTGAAGTGAAATTATTTGGATTCTTCTGGAATGATATAATTGTATCTCCAGCAAGACACACAACATCCTCCCTCAAAAAGCAAAAGGAGATTCGTCCTGCCATATAAAGAATATTTCTGAAATAACGGTTACAATACTAAAACCATTCGAAATAGATATCACACAGAAACCAATACAATCACTTCATTCAATACTACTCAAACCAAAAGACCCAGAACAAAAGAAAACAAGATAATCACCATCTAAAAAATAAGTTGCATAAATTATGATAAGATCTATGCTGGTTAAACTGGGCATCCCATGACACTACGAATCCACGGACACAAACTAGCTATCAAAATACGCGCCGTGTATTTTTTTATATCAGTAAATGTGCAGACAACTGTGGACATGAATTTCACTGGGAAAATGTAGAAATTTTAAACCGTGGCAATACCAAATAAATGCCGAGAAATTCTTAGAAGCCTGGTACTCAGATGAATAAACAACCAACAGAAACATTACTATAGATCAATTTTATGAACTGGTAACGAATGAGACAAATGACCAAAACTGTCAAATTCAAAATCAATAAAAACGATCAATACTAATGCAAATTAGCAAATGATCCCTATTATATCACTCATGGAGAGTTCAAATAAGTGCACTTCATACTGAAAAATGTGTTCAAGATGTTCTCTAGAAGAACAATGAAAGCTTACAATCAAATCATCAAGCTTGGAGAACGAAACCACACCAAAATCTGTGGACAAACAGTTGATTTTCAAGAGTTAGTTCGTAGGGATTGACGGAAGTTAGAATTCACCAGCCACTGGATTCTGGTCCAAATGATCTAATGAGCAAAGAGCTTGATCTCACAAATTGAACACCCAGGGTCCGACCCCCATTAGCTGCGTACTTCTGAAGAATCTCAAAAAAGGACGAGACGGTTATCCAGTACTCCCTGGATTTCAGTGGTTCTCTCACTGATATCAGTCTGTGATCAAACTTGAAATAAACAGTTGCTTATTTTGTTTCTATGAATCGCTAGTCTTATTATTCCCAAAATAACACAATTACCATATCGTTGTAACATATAGATACTGAAGATTCAATTCCTTCTTAAAATTATTTTTTGAAATGAAATGATTACTACTATTATTAGTGAACAGTAGTAAAACGGTAGTTGTCATGCTAAACGATATTATTATATTCCCTTGGTGAAAATTTGTTTTCTATGTGACATTCATAAGTCGGACAGAGTGCAATTGAAAACATATTCAGCCGCGCCCTTTCAATAATCCAAGAGCTGAATTTACTTTATGACCGACGGACATATTTGTTTGCATGTTAAGATGATGAACTGTGAGAAAGGACGTCCTTAAAGTTTATGATGACAATATACATTCATGCTAACTTCACGACAACACATATTTCTTTTCTTTTATAGATCACTGTCTATCCAACTGAAGCACAGGTCACTAAACTTACCATTGTCAATGAAAACCCCTTAATAATTCTTTGTGGTGACGTACAAGGTCGAGTTGACTGTTATGCCTTACTGTGATAACCTAATTCATATCATTTCCAGAAACCTGTTTTATTTTTCTCCCTTTTATATCGCGCAATGGATTCCCCTAGATGCAAGTAGTATTATTAATTTGTCATATCATGGTTTTGATAGAGACAGTTTTCTAATCTTTTCTTATAGTAATAATTTTATTGGACTCATGGATTTTTTAAAATACCATCTGTAGTTTATTTGCATCACTTGTCATTGATTAAATAAATTATCTTTCTCTTTTTCAGTCTTTATTCAACTGTTCCTTAACTTTATCTGTTTCAATCTAGCTCAAAAGTCTGAAAAGAGCAATTTGGAGTCATGTAGAAAAAAACAGCTGCATTGTAAGCTTATCTTGTTTAAATGTAATGACTAATTTATGTTCTGTGACGATTAGTGCATGTTTAACGCTAGCGTCCTGTGCTTGGTAGCTGTAAAGGCTGTTTACACTATTCAGATGAACACTACCATTTCAGTATATCAGTTAGGTCTATAATCAACCTAGGTTCACTCTTTTATTCCTTTGCTTTTCGAATGGAATATAGGGCTTTAAGCTTGAGTCTTGAAGTTCTAGTAGCATTGGTATTATTTTTATTGCCTTTTTTATAGTGACGTCCATCATTCTCTCTATATCAGATTCGATACGGGCTAGGCGGTTTTAGAACTGCGCCAGCCAGAGATCGAATCCTGATCAGCGAGTATTCTACTACTGAACCACCGATGCACGATCAACTTAGGTATTATTACCTTTAAAGAAAGTGGGGGTGTGGTGGAAATAAGCTTCACAGTTCCAGTATTTACACCATTCTGAGGTAGCAGTCTTTCTGTCTATTGCCTTTGCAGGTGTACATACACAGGACGTTTTATAAACGCTAGTGGCATTCAGTGGGTGGTTAGTGACTAAGGAGTACAGAATGACAAGATGAGTAACCAAGTAAACATTAATCCTTCTTCATGCTTTGTAAGGTTCTCTTTCTTTATTGAACAGTATTGAACGATGAATACCCTTCTGTGTTTGACTAGATTTCTCCGCTTCATTTGCCCACCAGCGTGAATAAACTAAACAGGCGTTCATCGGTAACTGCTCCCTTCTTACTCCGATCTAGCTACATATTCTGCGGAACTGTGTAGGTTATGCAGTACCGATAGAAAGCAGGAAGAAGTAAACCTCGAACAGCTATACAGACAAACGTTTTAACCAGCCATAGCCTGTTCGTTAATAGTCATGTTTCTCAAATTTTTGTTTACTGGTAGACATTTCGAACACCATTTATTGTTTACACAAACATGTCAAATGCAACTGCACAACTTCGAATGCTGGATTTCATACTCCCAGTCCTTCTTTTCTATTTGGCCCAGGTGTATATATATATATATATCCTCAGTTGATTCAGCACATACAGCTAAATAGCATTCTTTAACAGCAAACCTTTCAGTGTCATCAAGTCGCATTTTGCAAACCAATTCGCTATTTGCGATTTACACAGTTCGAGGTGAAATTTCACCACACAGTTTCCTTTTTAGATACAGAAATTATTCACATCACAGTATGTAATAGCAGTCAGGAAACCAAGCATACATACATGACGTTATATACTACCGGCTAACTGATATGAATAGTTGGACACCACTCTCATCGAGCAGTAGTGTTTGCTATCCAGTCGCCGAAGTTGCTACTTAGAACCCAAGCAGTCTGAACTAATTTAGCTCTCTGAGCTGAACCAAATCGGGCACAACGTTGATGAACTCAGCCCCGAACGAGCGAAATGGCTGTCCGATGTTTACATTACTTTTATCTGACTGCTCAGAACTAGTGATTGATGTGACAGGTGTTCACCAACTACTCATGCTAGTCAATCAGTAATATATATGACTCAGCATCAAGCTACATATCGCTACCAGTGTAGCTTCATTAGATGTCCAACAGCATATTTACATTCTATTGCATAATTCTGTGTCGCTGAAAACTCTGTTGGATCTGATTAAGAACTACTAATAAAGTGCTGTTTTCTAACTTGTTTTCGCCATATCATTTCTGCGCTTTGAATTTTCTGTAGCGGTTGAGTTGATTCTCTAGGGTAGGGTCGCTAGCCCCATACCTATCTTTACCCCTATTTTTTGGGCTTGGGACAGACTAGAAAACTAGGCGAGATTAGCGAAAAAAGTAGCTTGGAACAAGGCATAAAAATTTCCAAATGGAATAGTCGGTGAAAGGAGTACTGGTGTAACGGTAGAAGACGAGAGACTTGGTGAAGGAATGCGTATTTGGAAATCGATATCTTTATATGGCGAAATTATGTACACCTTATTTTCAAATCACCATTTGCACAGATCTTCTGTGTTGTGGTACTTCTGGTCTTAATATTGTGTGTTCCTTTCGCGTTTCCATGTATACCTGCAACGCCATATCATCTGCTTTCTCTGACATCAAATATTATTCTCCTGCTTTTGACGTTTTTATGCCGATCAACCTCTCTTTGCATATGTATACTACTGATAAATCCTATCAGTAGCACACGACACACTGCTAACGATTTAGAATTATTGTTTCGAATTCACCAAGTAGCGCGTGGTGGCATTTACCCACCGATGGTATTAGAGGACAGTTCCGCTTTATAGCCGACTGCCAGCGTCCATATTTGGAAAGCATAGTTAGGGCGGTTATGAGGACAGAGAGCTGAGTAGTTCATAATTAAAACATAACTGTAACCCTTAGTTTTTAAAGATTTTGTAAGTGATTTGCTCTGTGACAACACAAAATTTATTCATATACCACCAATGCCTGAAACATATTCTAACTATGTAGCAATAGTCTTCAATCATATCAACCTTATAGTCTAAGCTTACATTTTATCCGAGTTAGTTCGGATTAGATGACAGGGTAGTTTTATTGAATCAAACGTGTTTCATAGTCTAGAACAAAACCTGTATCATTCATTCAGGTCAAACTAATAATAATCAATAAAATTCGGAGCAGTAGTGTCTAATACACAATAATACGACAGAAAACAATACAAAATTTAATAAGTTGATATATATATATATATATATATATATATATATATATATATGATAGCAGTTAATTGCATATGAACATACCACCCTAATTAAACCATTTGACAACAGATTAATACAAGAATTTCGAAACTTCATAAATAAATCGATATATGCATACATAAACAGATAACGTTAACTGAATTATTTGCTAACAGGTTAATTACTGACAATTAAATTTCATTTTGACATGGAACTTAAGCAGTGTAGTAGAATACGACCCCATAATAGAATAATGTATCTGACACAGCACAGTAACGGCGGTGTATTGCTCATTGCTGATGGTATACTATAGTTCACTCCTAATGTTATCTAAAGACCTCTTTGTAGCACGTTTTTAGGCATACACTGTATCACAGTAAAAACTATACTGACGTTTATAAGTATCTATAACATGCAGGACAATTGGGCTGTGAACAGATTTATCTTCAGCTTTTCCACACCAGGTGTGTATGTGTTCACCAATCCGGAGATAACTGTATGTACTCGTACACCATGAATAACTTGATTTACTGACTTACTATCAAAGTGTGCACACTATCAGTGATTTCATATTGTTTTTCTTAGCACAAAAGTGTAGTAGTTCAGGTGGCCAAGCTTGGTAAAAGCATATATAGAAGTAGGAAAAAATGTAGCAAGAGTACAACGCATGAACAAGTACGATAGAGACTATAATCAGATGAAGATCAGCTTAAGTTTTTAGAATCTGGAAGATAACAAGGGGTGAACATATTTGCTTTATTGTGAACGATTCTGAGCCATAACAAGGTCTTCAACAATTGATTATTAGCATTCTGAGGATATCAAACGGGTAATCTAAACCCTCCTACATGGCTAAAACCAACAACCAAAGACTTCATAAACTGGTGCTAAGACATTTCCCATAACTAACCCCAACCAAATAAGACTCCAGCTAAATGAATCGTCGGAGGAGAGGTCACGGTCCATCACAGTTGTTGGAGCTTCATAACCTCACTGATTAATTTCATGTCCCATCACGTAACACACACTATACCTAATCACATTCTTATCAAGTGTACTGCGCCACCTAACACCAGGGCAAGTGAAGACAACAAAAGTCAGAAATGCCAAATCTTTCCATATTTTATATCTTCAACAGCAATGTCTTATAGCTGTAAAGTAGGGAAAAGCAGACATTACACGCATCCTTTGATGGGGAACTATGTTTCATGCTTCTGCTAAACCAGCCATATATATGCGCCAAGAGATCGTGTCAGCAACCAGTCAATTAGTATTGATGCAACCTCACAAATAAGTGAAGTGCTAACGCATTCAAATAATTTTCTTCATACCCTTAAAATAAACCCTTACAAGGTATCTTGAGAAAAAAAATCGAGACATCTGCAAACTAATTGTGTGTTGGAGGATAGACGACACAGACGTGCTTTTTATCATGTACTGTGATACATACTTCTGGCGTGCTGCTTCAGATATGTAGTGACGGCATAATTTTGGCCGAAAAAAGGGATATAAGAAAAGCATTTTCATAAAACTGGTATCTTTTATCTAGAGATGAACATTCTTTATCTCTCTGGTTCCTGATTTCATTTGTTAAGAATTTCATCCCTCTTAAACTGTTACACAAAACTAAGTTTACCGTACGAACTGACTCGATATTAATGCAGTCAAGACAAGTATTATACCGCCAGTGAGTTTTCTAACAACACAGAAAAACTTTTCATTCAAGAGGAAAGGATAAAATTCAGACATTTTTATTTGTTGACAAATAAAATATAAAAAGACGACTATTATCCCTGATATATCAATTTTTCTATGAAAACTTATTTTGTTGAAAAAAGAAAAATGAAAAGCGGAGAAAGAGAAATCAGCTTATCGAAAAAGCTTCAGTGTAAAATGTGCTAGTGTTTCTTTTTCTTTTTTAGATTTCCCATGATATCATCTAGTGAGATATTGGTTCTACATTCAGTTAATCACAGTCTTCATTCAGCATAGCAACACGAACATTAAGAAGTGACGCGAATCCAGTCCATAGTGCGTATGGAATCATCAGATTACTAGCGTCAACATTGATTGGTCGAAATAAGTATACACATGCCAGAGCTCCACCGAAAATGCCTAAACACACTGCTGTTCCCTATAGTGAAGAAGAAGCAAGGTATACACTCAATAACTATAGGAATATTATTTCAAAATATTATAATATAAATGTCTAAATAAATAATTACTTTTTAATAAAATATCCGAAAAATAAGTCTACGAGATCTGTTAGGCAGTGACTAAAGTATAAATTCAAGACAGGTCATTTTTACATCAAATATAAAAGATCATGCATCCCTAACAAATATTAAGTGACAGTTTCTATACGGCACTGCAACTTCCGCCCACGTGCCTAGAGAGCCGTAAATATCCGCTAAGCAATTCGTAAAAATAGTGTAGCCCAGTATGATGTAAATACGAATCTGAATAGGTTGCAGTTGAAATCTCTGCTTCGCGCTTAACAATGCAAGTTAGAATTTCAAAAAGAACATACGTTACCTCGGAGTTGCAGATACGCCTCAGAATACTGGTTTAAAATCCCTTAAAGTGGTGTGAATAAAATCACTGCTTATTATCTTCTAGATTTTGAAAATATAGACTAACCAATTTATAATCCCTCCCGCACTTCTACATTCATTATAGCCTCATTACATTTCTTTCTCTACTTTATTTGTGCGTTTCCTCTGTGACAACTTGAAATGATTCACTTTTATGCAAAGTTGTTATCAAAACCAGTGACTTACGACTTATGAAACCAAACTGTCTTACATACCCTACGCAGGTAAGGCAGGAAAAATTGCATTCGTACAGAGGATATTACCAGTCGGCATACGGCAAGTCAGGATGTAAGATTTCTGGTATTAACCTGGGAAGACGACATAGCTTGAGGAAACATCTTATCCCTATCTATCACAGTACGACCACTATCAGCCCCCCTCCCATACAGTAAGCAACAGACGCCATGATGGTAACTGCTTTGTGTAACCATAATCAAAGTAAACTTCATAATGACATTGAGGACGCTCATTTCAGCCAGAATAGCTTTTTAAAAAACGATCAAGAGTCTTAACTTATCTCCAACTACTTTGTTAAGCTAATAATGCAATTTATGAACCAACGATTACTGCTAAATATGTTACGGTACCAAACACATCATTTCCAAAAGGAATAACTAACATACATATTTTATTCCATATTAGTTTGTTTATTAGATGTATCACACAGTGAAACAGTATTATATGCTGGATGACGTTTCGAACACAATTTATTGTTCATTATCATATCAATTATGATCACACGACTTTGAAATATTAGTTTTTTTCTTTCAAAGTCGTGTGATCATAATTGATATGATTATGAACAATAAATTGTGTTCGAAACGTCATCCAGCATATAATACTGTTTCACTGTGTGATACATCTAATAAACAAACTAATATGGAATTACTTACTACCACAGTGCCCAAGTTTTACACATATATTAACATACATATTTTAGTTTATGCTGCCCGAAAAATAGAGGCGTCCACGACCAATTAAGTAGAAGCTGAGCACCATAAACAGCCAAAGGAAGTAACGCCTTTTCATGTGATGCATCTCTCCACACTAAATAAGATGCAGCGCCCATGCAACCATAAAGCGCACTCCACACAGGACCAAACACCCATTTCGGGGGTGCAAATGATGGCATTTTCAGAGAATCATACCAATCCATATTCTTGGAGACAATCCGCTGGCCAGCAAACACTCCAACGAAAGGTACAGCGATGAAAGGGGCAGCATGTAATAAGGACATTTCACGCATCATAGCTCAGTGACCTACAGAAAAAGGAAAGGTTGTTAGGAGCAAGACAGAATGCTACTGGCATTCAAATAAATTACACAAACGTATGGCAATAGCCTAAGACTCCAACTGCCGCCTATCATGATATTACATAGATGAACAGGAAAATAACAGAATTTCATGTTGTGATTGTCTTTTTATAAAAGGGAAACCACTACCGTTGTGAGCGACCCGTTGTAAAATCGTGTGCTAAGTTGATTTTTGTAGGTAAAGGGGACAAAGAATATCCTTCTATCTGACTAGAAACATCTCAAAATACATATCAGACCAGAAAATGAGGGAATGAAATTTTTTCTACTAGAAATGCGTAGAGATTGACATTGGATACACCAGAAACAAGCGATCATCAATATAGAAACTATTAAAATTCACCCTGGCAGAATCCATAATTTACAACGAACGTGAACTATAGTAGCCATTTAAGCACATATAATCTGAATGGTTATTGGCTAACCGATTACTTTATTGATAAATAAGTAGGGTTAAGTGGTTCAAAAACTAGTTGGCCGCATTTATAGGGTTCATTAATGAAGTACTTATTTCTTTAACTGTAATTATGGAGCAGTCTTCCGGCCAACTGATGACGTCGAGAGAGGTTAGTGACATAATGGATAAGGCCACAAAACTGTACTTTCATGATTTGAAAGATCGCATCCAAAGGCGTAATCTGAAGGAAGGAATTCAGGTAAAACTGTGAAACGCCCGTTTACTTTTAAAAATCGACGTTTGATCAACATTTAGTGAACACAAAAGGGATTTTATTTCTAGGCAAATGCAAAAGATACCAGGGACATAACAGTGCCAGTTATGTAAATAAACTTTTCTAAATGTGAATGCTGAAAATGTGATGAGCATAATTTTCCATCGACTTATCTTTTATTTTGCTTATTTACAGGATGCTACCAGTGGGCCTCATTTGACGGATTTGCAGTGACATTGTACTACAGTTTCTAAATACAAAATTCCCTTAATTATAAAAACTGACTTCTTTCGGCAAACTAAACGAATCGCGCCAGCATAGGACACAAGTGATGGTAATTAGTAAAAGTCTTTTTGTTCTTTAGTAATGCTAGTTCATGCTTTATATGCTCTATGAGGGCTGGAACAACGGTGATCATCAAACCCAGTACGTTCTGATCAACTTCCGAAAAATTTTATTTTTTTTATTACGACATCCCTGGGTATAAATTAAAGGAAGTGTGTACCGTGCAGCAGTTTGCTTTTTCATTCTTTATGGATGTGAGACATGACTGTGGAAAGAAAAGTTATAGATAGACCAGGTGTCTTTGGCTACAGATGTTTGCGTTCCAGTTCTTGTGTTAAAAGGTGTAATTTGGTGGCTAATACTGCAGCTGGACATAAAGTTTTGATAAGGAGGGCAAGTGAATCGATGAAGTTGTGAATCTATATCGACTGAAATGGTTAGAACACGTGGTACACATGCAAGGTCGTTTCTTCTTTGTCGAGTAATGCTATCTGTCATAGGCTAAGGCTTGGAAAGAGTTACGAATGGTCATATGAAAAGCTATCATCAATCCATGAAGTTTCAGACCGTTAATTTGAGAGGTGTAGACTGTCTAGCTGGGAACCTTGAGTGGTTGTAGAGTCTTAGTGATATGGGTCAGAATCGTTCTTAATGGTACAAATGCATTCACTATTTGCAATTGCCCAGACCCATTAATTCTTCATGTTTCTCCATGTAATCATGCTTTTGCCCACAAATTTCGGTTCATTATAGTTTCTTTGAACTTCTATTTTTCGCTACTTTTGTGTTTTATGTGGATTATGGCAACTTGAAATGCTGCACTTCTGCGTAAAGTCCTACTTTAAAAACTCCATCACTCGGTCACAGATACTAAACATATCAAACCATAATCGTGCATTGATACACGATGGTAGCTGAAGTAATTCTAAGTTAAAAAATACTGGGGATGATCGGGTCAAAAAATAACACCATTCTATGAAGTTTACGGACGGTTGAATTGAATCAGTTACATAACGGCAAGTAAATTCTCTGGATGGTGTACTCAGGATGCTAAGAAGAATTGATACTTCAAGAATCTGGATTAAAACCACCTTACCATCAAAATCCTGAAGAGTAAAAGTGCGGCTGACGGATCAACTATGAGCTTCGCATAGAAGTGTAGCAGCTCAAGCTAGCATACTTTGGAAAGCACACAAAATAAAGTAACAGAAACATGATGATATCATAACACACGAACCGGAAGAATAATGAGTTGAAGAATATTTAAAATTTTCAGACTATGGATAGTAACAAGATATAAATGCTTCTGTGTCATTATAACTGATTATTAATCATATCACCAAGGCTATGGAATCAGTGACTGTCAATCTCTAGAACACTTTAGACAGGTAAATCATACCTCTAAATGCAGCTCAAGCCAATAGTCATAGACTTCGTGAATTGGTGTCACATTTTCATCTAACCACTACTTACTCGTTTTCAACTTCAACTAACAATATTTTTTGTGGAAAGAGGTGGTTCAGCATGCATAACACATGTTCCAATCACTTCAATCGAAAAAGCTTCACAACTGATTTAACCACTGATTTAACAGCCTGCATTTAACTTTACTGTAACCTATCAGTGTACTCCAACTAACGCAAACGATTAAATGAAGACACCTATGGTGAACTGACACAACTTTTGTCATTCAGTTCAGCCATTAGTCTATTAAAACAAAATTATAGAAATCCGCCTTCCAAAAACTAAAAAACAAATTAATACATATTATTGTGCATCACCTTTATGTGACATTGGGCAGAGAAATATAGCAACTGATGCTGGCGACATTTACTATTCATAAGCATATCAAATTAGTAATACAACGTAGGACACATGTTTTATAACCGAAGAGTTTTTTTAATTTTAACTGCAAAAAGGGTATTCTGTATAATTAGGATTTATGTTGAAGGTGATTAAAAAAACTGAGATTTGGTAATTAATCTTTCTTTATCTGATAGAATACAGTGGACTCTAGAACTGCCCTTATTTTTTTATTCCTTTACGTCCCGAGTGAAATATAGGCCTTCAAGCTGGAGCTTTGAAGTGTCAGTACCAAAGGTGTTTTATTTTTACGGGTTGAAGTTGCTAGCTTCACACCCTACCATCCCTCTTTGCCCGCCCTACTACCGGCTTAGTGAGGTACAGGAGTGCCTTGACCGAGGATCCAACCTCGAACCAAAACCGTGGTTGACGACCGTTCTACCGCTGAACCACTGGACCCAGAACTGTCTTTATATTCCACCTAAACTTGTGATCATGGATCACAACAAACACTGGAATAGCAAAGCATGTTCCTGGAATACTTCCTATAGTGTTTAAATGGGAATTCGACATAAATCAACATCAGGATCCCAAGCTTTGTCTGCTTTATCCTTTACCGTTACTAATCACTTTTAAAGGTGGGAAAAAGCCAGCTTCTTATTATGTTTTTGAAGCTTATGAAAGTTTTCTTTTATTATTCATCAGTGCAAACAATGATTTAAGAAGCCACACGTGTATCATGTGCTAAATAACTGACTCTAAACTGTTCATATCGGTTAGGGTACATGACCATCATAGCTGAAGTTGATAGAAGTGAATATCGATGAAGCACAAGAAAAAGAAGAACAAATAGAAGCTATTTAGCCTATTTCAAAGGCAGTTTGATATCATCGTAAAAAAGGAATAATAATAAAATACCTTGGTTAACTGTTGAATACTTTCTTCACAACTTTGATAACGACGATCAACAATGTATATACCATAAGATTTAGGATCTTCTACATGCTCTTCAATGAAACAACCGAATCCAGAAAGATTAGTGGTTACAGAGGGAATACCCATTACAGTGTATTCAGCTTGAAGTGAAAAAGGAATGAATATTACTATGACAGTAAGATGAACATCAGGCAGCGTATATCATGAAACTACAGTATTTTAAATTTGGTAAGAATAATTAACTACGCATTTTGTCACCATTCATTAAAAGCAATTCAAATTATCGTAAACTGGTTGGACTGGACTCCGTCCCAGTGACTGAATGGTCAACGAGCTCATCTTGTAACCCTAAGGTTTTAAGTTGGATCCCTGGCAGTGGGGTCATGAGTGTGTACCGCTGAAAAGTCCAGATTTATTGTTCTAACAACATTGGAAGTTTTGCAGTTTATCTTACACTAGAAACAGGTGTTGTCCAATATCTTCACTGTAAAAGCCAGATACTAAATTTATCCAGTAAAAGACAGTTGTTATTTCTGTCTACTTTTCACCAATGGTACCGACCTTCATTTATATTGACATTATTTTTAACCAAAATAAACTGTTCGTGCTAAACAAAAATTTAATCAGCCAATCACACTTCCAATGTTTATACGTAAAAAGATGAAATTGCACTTTGAAAGAAGGAATGGGCAGTAGTTAGTTAACTGTCTAACTTCACGATAATAAAATAACACTGTTTGATAGACATACAGACATATCTTACCTGGTGTATAACCCCATGGTTCATAGTAGGAGGGAAATACACCTAAATGGCAGCCTCGTACAAATTCTTCGTAATCCATAGGCAATAGTGGATTAGTAGAACTCAAAAACTCCGGGTGGAAAATAACCTTCAATGAGAGAAACAGAAATATTTATATTATTATCGAATATATATATATATATATATGATGCTGAACTGTCTTTTGAAAAGGCGTAAGAATTACTCTCACACCTCATATTGAGTATAGGATTGAACAAAAATACTAACAGATTTGTAGTTTATATGGAAGACATCTTGTAATGCATGAATCTAATTATGAAATAAATATATGTGACACAGGGAGCTTTAGATCACACTTAGTGTCCTAATAATTTACTAGTACTTACCGATGACTTGCGTATCTATTCAGTGTTTCACTGCAAAAAGCAGCTAAAGCGGCCTTATCACTTGACATGCTACCACCAAAAGGAGTATAGGAACGTATTTTCGTATAAACAATAAGGTTATCAAGAAAAGCAGGGTGAAAACGAATATAATGCTAAGCTTACCTTAACACGATCGTGACGATCGTTAAATAATTGGCATCGGCGTAAATTGCATAACACTAAATCGATGTTATCTTGAACAACATTGTGTGTACAAATAGGAGGTAAATTATTTCGTTGTGTTGCGTATATGCAACGTTTAAGTCGATATATATCACCCTAAAAAGAGACCACAATACAATTTTAATAGCATCATTGTAAATTAAGTTTGGAAATTGAATTTGTGCAGTCTTTAAATTAAAAGTTTAAAAATTACCTGAGTAAGTATATCAGTTCCTTGAGGAATACGTCCACGAAGACATACTTCAAACAAGCGATGCCCCATCTCACATTGAATTGAGTTCACTGTTTCACGTAATTGTTTTACAATAGCTTGAGCGCGAAAAGAATCCACATTAAAACTATTTGTGTGGGCCGGAAAGATGAGAAATGCGACAACAGTGACATCAGTCTGAGCTTGCTAAAATAAAGTTATAGCAATAAAGAATAACTGTAATGAGTTTTTTAACTGAAATAACTCAAAATATCAAAAATGAAGACTATGTAACAGACGGGTCTTTTGAATAGTAGTAATCGATTGGAAGTAGTATATGGTGGGTAAATCCCTAGATTAATACAGAAATAAATCTCGTTAGAGAATATTTACACTTAATGTGGTGTACGATAAACTTGGAAAAGTAGTTTCGATGGAAGACCAGTTTATTCTTTCCAATCTTCAGTTTACACACGTATATTTAAATAATTCATGGAGAAAAAAGTTAGAGAATGGTAACTAGCAGTGAAATTTAGGATGTACACTCCGTCCAATTTAGGACTGCTGATCTGAATGTACTTGTATCCTTAGTGAGTGGTAGTGTTCTCACTGAAACTTGAACTTCCCACACATCGGTTTAAACGCTAGAGTTATGCACTAGACTACTCGACCAAGAGATCCACCTCTTGTGCTTTTAGGTAAATTTGTAGATCGTTAGACATCATCGAAGCGTTCGTACCAGAAGCTGACATGTCAAAAGAGACTGACCATTCCTGTCCAACATAATCACTCAACGCAGAATGCGAAATAACCCAAAAATAAATTTAGGAAATATATCATTTTTTAGTAGCTCCGAAAACTGCTTATCTACAGCTTAGATAGCAACAAGGCAGATGCCGTACACAGCCTACTATTTACCAAGTCGCACTTTCCTTCTGAAGGTAAAATCGAGACGATGACTACAGATACAAACTTCAAATTCCAAACTGTCAAAACAGAATAAGTTCTTAGATCATAGTAAAGAAACCTATAGAAATTGAAAGGCGTGTTACAAAAAGGCTATTAAGGGAAATGTACGCCTCTAAATTACAGGAGAAACAAGAGTATGCAAAAGTACCATAAACTTTGAGGATGAAATACACCAATAATTCCAAAAAAGCATAAATATCACAATTTATTACAAAAATATTTCATAGTAGTATTTTCTATCTCTTACACTTGTATTTCTACTCACATCTTATTGCACACAATTCAGAACCTTTGATATTAAATTTTATGTGGAGTAAACAGTTACTGAAAGGAATTAGTCATATAGTGATAATTACTACAGGTGACGTGCGCCGAGTGTATATATCCATTTCTAATAAATAAACTACCTTTTTACTTGAAATAAGAAGACAATTTCTGAATATTAGCAGCTACAAAACAAATGAGGCTGATACCAATGTGATTTGTAAATCCAGATACTTATGTGATCTCCATTACTTTCATATTTAACTGGTTATATTTTGTAGTAGGCTTTGATTCAACAGAGAACTCAAATGAATCTAATAAGAACTAAATATTAAAAGTTACTTAGCAACCATTTGCAATTCCGTGCAGTTGGCCATGAGCCATACCTATTGTGTGTGTTGGTTATACTACCCAAACCTGCCTAAATGTCGATGCACGTAATGGGTTTTGAACCCATGATCCCCAAATTGAAGGGCGAGTGCATGAACCAATGAGACGCAACTCGCTAATAAACTAAAAATATAATCACACTTTATAACTATATACTGTGACACGCATCATAACGTCAAAAATAACCCCAAAACAGTGACTGTTTCAATGAGTAATAAACTAATAAATAGAATGAAAAGAAAAGTGACTGAGAAAAAGATAAGGAATAAAAACTATAAGTTAGTTTGAATTAAAAAGACTAACATACTTTTAGGTGATGATTGAGACGAGCCAGTGACTCAATAAATACATCAGCCCCCTTGTTCTGGAATTCATAACGACCAGCAATAAAAAAGTACAAGGTCTTATCAAGATCAAAATCATAATGCCTAAAACAAAAAAATGATAAACAAATTTCAAAAGTTATTGTTTGAAACAGAAAGTTGGATATGAAAGTTGAATTAACACTAAAGTAACTGACTTACCCATAGAAATGTCCCTGAATGAATTGATTCAACTTTTCTTTCGCCAATGCATGACGATTTTGAAATTCATGCAGAGCAGCAAATTTAATGACATTAAGACCATTCGGAGTGATGACATCTGGTTCTCTTCGTAAAAGATATTTACTTTCTAATCCAGTAATTTTACTAACTGTTGTAAATGTATGCGCACAGTGAACACCGGCACGTTCAAGACAGTATCGATGATAAATATTTCGATCACCAGCTTCCTACAGAAGCAGAATATATACAAAAATTAGTCGAACAAATCGGAATAATTTCAAAAGCGCATACTAAATACATAAATTTACTGGAAATCATGTTCATTTATACCCCTATAATTTCGTATGACTACCTACATGACAGTGTTTTTTATCCTTAAGTAGTCACTGAAAAAAAGACTAGATTACTGTAGGTGAACTTATTATAGAGGGGAAATAAATAAAGATCATATGTGATAAAGTATAATGGAATTCGAATCTAAACCAATACCTAAAACACACAAGAAATAAGATATGGCATTACATAACTTTGCAGAAAAGTGCATCAGCTCTGTTTCCTAAACTTCCAAACACCACGACACAGAGGAAGCGAATAATGAATACTGAAGTTTACAAAAAGACAGGAAAATTTATGAACGTTTGGATAAAACGCATATTGGAATGTCTTCATTTTAATGACGTTTCCTTTAGTAATTACAACTGACAGATTTGATTCAAGAAATTGTAGTCACAATTCCAAGAAGAAAACTAGTATCACTAGAGTTTATGCACTCAAAGAATATGAGACATATGATAAATCTGCTTTAAATAAAGGTTCAAAATGCAGACTTATGATAAAAACACAGATAATCAGTTAGCTGTCATCAAACAGTAAAATAAATAAAACGTTTACTATTCTCAAATGACTGGTGTTTCAATTCAATACCACAAAAAATAAACATAACAAATAATTACGGAGGTAATGCTTGTTATAAAGTATTTACTTATACGTAGTTTTCATACTTGCTTTTCATTCCTACATACAAATTCCAAAAGGTAGCTTAGCTCAGTACCATTCGGTCTGAAACGTAACTCACTGAACGAGATGTATGGTAGGATATAAGACTGCTCGCCACACTTCCTACATACAAAACCAGTTATTTCAACATTTCTAATCTGATTGGGACCGTAACTTACCGAAAGCTGTGTTAAGCCGATTAGACAGTTGGAGAGCAGCATATTAACAGGCAGATGCACAATACACAGTAAATAATTTTTAAATAGACACCCACCCCCACCAAAAAATGATATAACAGGCATAAGCACAGAATGATGATGAATGAAAAGGATTTTGCCATTTAAATAGATTTACTTGCTACTTAGATTCTTGTCACCTAAGCAAAGCACAAATCAAGCAGGGGTCAAGTGGTTTGTCTGAGAAACCTGCTCTACCACTTGATAGTCATTCAGCAAATACAAGTGTGGATGCAAGCATGACTTAAATAACCACTTCTTTCTGCATTCACATATTTGGCATAGCGGTTAGGGCGCTCGCCGACGATGCACATGGTCCGGGGATAATAAATAAAATAAACTATATAAATAAGTACATTCAAAGTTACGATTCACTATGTAATTTCATAAAATCTATTAGATGCACGAAATCTGAAATTTGATTTGCCTAACTTTAACACAATGATTTCACCTCACGAAAAAAATAAACCAGAAAAATATATGATACACAAGCATCAGTAAGAGAAACTACTATTCATCTCTCTGAAGCACAAATAACACCTTCACTGAGGTTGTTGGTTTCGATTTGATTGAGTCATCCTAATTAATCTAAGGCTGAACGAATAATCATGTGGAAAAGTAACGAATAATAATACATAAGGATTTATAGCTAGGTATTAGCAAGAGCTTCATAAAATAATTCAAAAAGTGAAAATGAAGACAAACCTTGTCCAAATCAAACTTCGGAAGATGGTTATACAAGTCAACGGAAGATGCACATAAGTAACGCCCAAAAGTGTTGCATGCGTGGTGAACACAGTAGCAACTGGTAGATGACGTGTACGTGAAAATATTAGGCCAATGCTTGTCAGCCATTCATGAAAATGTGCAATTATTGGCGGTTGAGGATCCGTTTCTAATTCTTGTGCATTTTCAGCAAACTGAAAACACAAAATGACAGCAAATGATCAGGGATTTACCTTGGTAATACTATGTCACAAGAAAAAACAGTAGTATACAAGCAGTTCCACTGCAAACTGAATATACAATTACTTAATTGTACATAAAAATTTAGACTTTATGTGGCAAATCATGACACTTTCGGAAAAATGGTGTTTTAAAAATGGAAAACTGGTAGTCTTAACACAATATAAGAAGTGCCTCCAAAATCATATCCCTATTATAGTGACCTCTACTTTCCGATTTTGTGTGAGTAACATGCTTGAACTTCTTTCCAATAAATTTGTGCACAGAAACCATAAATATAAAGACGAATAAAAACTTATTCTCATTGTCGGAGTATTCGGATGCGATAAAGATAAGAGTTCTTCCATCTACCAAACCGGCAAGCGAAATACGCTTATCTTATATAATAAACACAATTCAATGCTTCCCTTCTTAAGTTGTTCCAATGAACCAAAAGAGGGAAAATTCAACTGTGATTATGGTTATAAGCCAAACCAGTGACTTCATATTACTCAAAACACTATGTTACATATTATTTCCCATCACCAATAGATTTTTGTATATTGAATTAGAAACTTTAAAATCTCATCATTTCTGTGTAGTAAATATGGTCAATTATTAAAGCCCTCTACGGTTCAATTGATTCAGCAATCTAAGTAATCACAAAAAACACTGTAATTTTTAAAATCTAATAACAGTCAATTTACTAGTTACTCACTTCTTTCAAAAACCAGGCAACAAGTCCGCCAAAAATGACAGCATCGTTACACTCACTATCGTGAACCGGGACGCCGATGTTGCAAGACTCCCATAACTCTTTCTTCCATGAATCAATCCTCCAAGCAGAAGACCCGATATCAAATAGGACAACATTTGGATAACCCTCGATAAGCCACCGACCGAAAACGATCTATGAGTGAAAAACAACAATAACAATAAAAAACACATAGCCTCGGTTTCTCAGTTGTGAGACTGTGGTGAGTCACAATATATGTTGCTGTTTTTAATGGCATATAACAGGAAATATCTAAATCGGTCACTTAATTTCATTAAATTATGTCAGCTTTAGAGGTCTTCGATATGTCTGAAAAAATGTTTTGGAGTGGTGAGAGTTGGCTTTTTCAGAGTAGTTAGAAAAAGGGGCTTCACTGTCGCTGAGGGTGATAACAGTACAATTTAAGAGGAAAAGGAGCCAAAGAATACATGTTTTTCACCAGCGAAAAATATTTTCTTTGAATGACCTTAGAATTGCATTTGTTCAATTAATAAGGGAGAAAAACATATGCTGACTTAGTGATATGAACAATGATCTGAAATTTTATTAAACAAGCAAGTGAGAAACTATGTGATTCAGTCAGAAAAAAACTGCGTTATCAAGGGTTGCTGAGTACACATATACTACTTATTGGTTGCCATATTAACCCTATTATTTCTAAAAATATTTCCAGCATATGAGAGTCATATTTCAAAAAGTAAATTCTGGAAAAAATGCGCATCTGTTTATCAGCCATCACAAATAATCACGGCCCAGAAACGTACTACTCAGTAGTACACTCATCCATTAATGTATAATCAAACCTTAGTGAAACAACGGACATTTCAAATTGATGAATCTACACCAAAATTCCGTTACCAACTGCTCCAGCAGAGCTGATACTACCTCACGTCGAAGTTGTCACCGTAGTTTGATAAAATATACAGATATATATGGTTACTGTGAAGTCTTTTTATCAGTGTCTCCTGTTGAAATCATAGTCAAAGCAGTCCGTGCAATTACCCCATATATTTCACCGACTCCTCAATACATAACCTTAGAATTAAGAAATAAACTCTACACACTCGTTTTTTCCATGAATCAGAGTGCACTGTGACAATGAATTTCGATTGCAAAAGTCCAAATCTTAATTCGCACAGTGGTACCATACGTAATTTGATGGAAAACCGGAAACATTCCCACTTTTGTGGGTGAAGTCTTATGACTCAAAAAGTAAAAAAGTGACATCCCTATAACTACGACATAAATGCTGAAATGAGAGCACGATGCACTGATCTACACGACTTACCTTAATATCATGATCACGCATAGCCTTGATGGTCCGTTTCAGTGCCTCGTTACTTGGTTCAGCAACATCGACCTCGGTTCTCATACATACTTCGTTCAGAGGTCCTATCAAAATATAACGGTCACCAAGTTCCTCAACCGTGGATGCGGCTTTAGTGCGAATGACAGTATATATTCCACCAACTGAAAAATGTGTAATATGAAGCAGATAAGAAATTTTCTAACTTTTTGAGAAACGACAAAACAAAGCTTCATATGCCGAGTCTTACCTTTATTGACTACTTCCCAAGCAACTTCGAAAACATATTTACGCTGATAAACTTCAGGATTAATTGAATGGACTAAGTCATTATTGACTAGAGAGTCCCTGGCGAAGCGTCCAGAACTTGCTCGTCTTCCGATAAACGACATAGATCGCGGGTATGAATCGTGACCCAATAAATCAACTCCTAATAGACGTATAGAGCAGATAAACAAATAACTTCAAACAACAGTTTCCCAAGTAAAATCACCTTGCCGAACACTTAGTTCCTCTCAGTATTATTAAATAAATCTGTAAGTGTCCAAGACAATGCCAGAAATTTCTGAATTTGCTAACCCCTGGATTTCTTCCCGCAGGTTACATTTGGTAGATAATTGGTCCACTACATTTATCTGGCCCGGAAGGATGGAAGGAAGAGAGATAACTGGATATTCGTTTCCGGAACGACTTAAAAATCACAGTATTTCTTTGTTTACACACATTTTCATAGTCAGTCAATAGTAATAATCTCTTGGACGGCGAATTCACTGACTTAAGCACCACTTTGCCGTACAGATCATCTGATAAATTGAAGTTCTCTTGGATTAACCCAGGGCCTACCCAGCAATATTATACTGACAGTGTGATAAACTGGCTTCTTTTCATAGCGGCATTCGATGGAGTGTGGCGCGGTACAACTCGAGGCAATCTTCTCTACTCATTTCATGTAAATGAGATACTGTTCGCAATCAAATCACCTTATCTGAATTTCGCCAACGAGATCGAGCTTTTCAAGACTTAAGACACAATAGCACTCAGGTTGATTGGAAGATGGTCTAGATCTGTTAGCTGAATGGTTGAACTATCAGACCTCGGAAATATATGTAAGCAAGCGCTTCTCTATAACAGCACACACAAATAAAAGACAAGTGCGTTCAGTCTACCTAATATCACCAGATGTAAACATTTAAGACTGATTGCAAACCATATCTTAAAGCCGTCAGCTAACTGAGTGGCTATGATGCTGAATAGTATCTAACGCATTACCGAATCTATGTAAAGTCGTGTAGTACCCGTAAACCATCTGTAAACACGCTTTTTAATCTAATTTGTATACGTATATTATATGTTCACATAGACCTTGCATGCGCTCCTTGAGTACGACGTGCTTTCTCCTCTCTAACCGGAAGATACCTATTTTGTGAATTATCCGTTTGGGAAACCTGATCTACCTAGCCGGTGAATTAAATTCAACCATTACTTACATATTAAGTCTCTGTGTGGTAGGTACAACAGTCTCCAGCTACTGCCGAAATTTCAGGTGCCACTTCTGTAGGAGCATCTCCTTCACTCGTTCAGATGAACAAGACTTGTTGGTTCACAACGTGATTGATGTAAAGCCGATCATCCAGGAAGTACTGTTTGAAGTCCAAAACCTTTTCTTTTCCTTGTCTTGTACTTTTTCAGTCCTATTCTTGTTCTTGTGGGTAGACGCTGTTGCACTCCTATTCTTATATAGCATAGGTCAGCCTCCTCTTGTAAACCGTTAATGCCCAGCTCTTGCTACGCTGGGACTCACGCTGTTCCTCGAAGCTTCTCAGAAACGCTTAGTACGAACGGACACAAAAACCAGAACACAGATTGGCGACTCGATAATTATTTATTCTAACACCAACATATAGCCAATATTACAACTAAGGTCTATGAACAAATATTACAATAATGAATCACAATATTACTTCTGACGGTTTTGTACGTGCTTTTTGAACAGCGATCAATGAGACGATGACTGGTGTATTGATGCCTTCGCGAAAAATTGGGGAAGTTGGGTTTGAGCCAACAACCACGAAATGATCGTTCAATCTTCAACTACATAGACGGCATAAGTCACAGTGATTGTTAATATGGCTGTCAAAAATAGCCTTAAGTAAAGCAATAAAACACCATACTCTGTAGTCACGAGGGCTTCGGCCAGATAAGGCAAAAACACAGGGACTTCAACCCCTTCCGCACACTGATCCTTAAGATTCGTGTGGGTCTTGTCTGTCCCGATACTATGCCTGAATTGCCACAGTCTAGCACTGAAACGGCACAGGCATTACCAGGATGAAAAGATACTACACCTGCATCAACTGAACGCCAGTGTGTGAAACACAGCAAAGCTAGAAGGAAACGTTCAAGACGTCACAAGACCCCGAAGGCGTCATCAAGGAAGGGAGATGAATGTCAGGCATGTAGTATCATAGTTCCTAAAACTGACTCAGTGTTTGAATGCAATTTCTGAAAACGATGGGTGCCCTGTCGTTGTGACAGAGCGGTACCGAAAGCATACCACGAGTTTATGAGAAATAACCGTGGCCATAGTCAGAAGTAATATTGTGATTTATTATTGTAATATTTGTTCATAGACCTTAGTTAAAACTTAATTTTAAAGTTGGCTATATATCGGTGTTACAATAAAGAATTCTCGAGTAGCCAATCGGTGTTTGGTTTTGCGTCCGTTATTACTAAGCGTTTCTGAGAAACTTCAAGGAACAGCGTGAGTTCCAGTGTAGCAAGAGCTGGGCATTGACGGTTTACGAGACGTGGCTGACATTTATTCTTAGACCTTGTGTATAATAACCTTGTTGTTGGGTACATATTGGCGTAGGAATAAAAGATTCTCGAGTCACCAATCTGTGTTCTGGTTTTTCGCGTTACAAATTGTTTCTGAAAGTCTTCCAAAAACAGCATGAGGTCCAGTGTAGTAAGACCTGGACATTGAGAATTTCTGATAGTTTCTCTTCGTCTTCCCTCGTGTCCGCCCGTCTTCTCAGGAACTTTTCTGGATTGTTTGGTCAAGTTCAATAATGCCTGCGTCAAAGAAAGAACAAAGCGTCTTGGAAGCAGATAGGAAAGTAAGCAATGATGAGTTGCCTGTTATATGTATTGATGTGTGTGATGTTAGGCATGATAAGATTGATGTCAATGTTTCGCCAGCTAAGGATAATAGAAATTTTAAAATTCTTAATATGAACGTCGGCGTTTCGACGGAAACCCAGCTGACTATTTACATTTTATAAGAGAGTTTAAAATCATGCTTCAAGAGCTATACAGTGCTGTAAGTTCATGCCTCCTAATGAGGGATACACTGAGGCTCTGAGCATATTACGTCAAAGGTTTGGAAAGCGATTTATGATATCCCGTAGCATTTTTGAGACTGTTAAAGGTAATGGGGCGCAGTTAAGAGACAACCCCGAGGAACTCGCAGAGTCCTTGGATAATTTTAATGATGTACAGAAACACTCTCTTTTAGCTTAACAATATGGATGAGTTGAACGCAGGTTCGATGCTTGAGACAGTTATCAAAAAACTACCGGTTCGTCTACAAAGGAAGTTATTAAAGGTTAGTTCCCGACTAGAGGAAGATGGTTTGGAGCCTGGATTCGATGATATTATGAAGCTGGTGAAAGACAACTCCAACCAATCGACGGGAAAATTCGCCAGCATAATGCATTCTAAGTAGAACCTAAGGAACCTGTGAATATAAAGAAATCATTTGTAGTAAAGGCTCAAGGCCCAGCGAGAAAGGATGAGTGTGTTGTTTGCCAAAACACGCATCAACTGGGTGATGACAATCGCACGTACAAAACCGTCAGAAGTAATATTGTGATTTATTATTGTAATATTTGTTCATAGACCTTAGTTAAAACTTAATTTTAAAGTTGGCTATATATCGGTGTTACAATAAAGAATTCTCGAGTAGCCAATCGGTGTTTTGGTTTTGCGTCCGTTATTACTAAGCGTTTCTGAGAAACTTCAAGGAACAGCGTGAGTTCCAGTGTAGCAAGAGCTGGGCATTGACGGTTTACGTGGCGTGGCTAACAGTTTCTGCTTTAAACGGTTTTGTACTTTTGGCACGTCTTTGGATTGTCACCGTTCATCTTTCCTGGTGCTGGCCAAGTCTTCTTTGGACAAGCAATATCTGGACCTTTTTTGGAATGGGGTCAAGTTTGAGAATGCCTGGGTCAGAGAAGGGACAGAGCGTCTTGAATGCAAACAGGAATGTAAGTCATGGTGACTTGTCTGTTACTTGTAACGATGTGTCTGATATTAAGCCTGACATGTTTGATGCTACTGTTTCGCCGTCCAGGGATAATGGGAACATCAAGCTCCCTAAGTATGAACGTCGGTGTTTCGACGGAAACCCGGCTTACTATTTACAGTTTGTAAGATAGTTTGAAATCATGTTTTTCATTAAACGATGAAATGGAGTTCATGTATTTGATGAGGTACTGCACTGGAGTTGCTTCAAGAGCTATACAGTGCTGTAAGTTCATGCCCCCTAATGAGGGATATACTGAGGCTATGAGCATATTATGTCAAAGGTTTGGAAGACCTTCGATGATTGTAGGGAACGTATTCGAAGCTGTCAAAGGTAACGGCAGTCAATTACAAGATGACTCCAAGGCACTTACTGAGTTTATGGATAATCTAATGACTTATAAGAATACGTTGATTTCGATGAATTGCATGAGTGATCTGAACTCAAGCTCAATCTTGGAGGTAATAGCAGGACGCCTACCTACTCGACTGCAAAGGAAATGGGTGAAGATAAGCTCCCGTATGGAGGATGAGGGTATTGAGCCAAGGTTTGATGATATTCTGAAACTGGTAAAGGACAGTGTCAATCAGGCGATGGGAAAATTCGCCAGCATTTTGCATTCTAAGGTAGAACCTAAGGAACCAGTGAATATAAGGAAAGCATTTGTGGTGAAGTCTCAAGACACAACGGGAAATGACGAGTGTACTGTTTGCCATAACATGCATCAATTGAGTGATTGCAATCGCTTTATTGCCATGTCCCCCGTAGAAAGGTTAAAAATGGCAAAGCAGAAGCGGCTGTGTTTCAGTTGTTTAAAGATTGGGCATACAAAGTTGAACTGTAAGGCAACAAACAAATGAAGTAGTGGTTTAACGGATATGCACCTACTTCTGAGGACAGTAGACAGGCCGGGGAATTCGGTTAATTGTAATAGTAACTTTAGACCCCTTGACAACCCACAAGTTTATTCAGGGGTATTACCAGTTAAGGTGAAAAGACCGAAATCTTGTGTGGAGACTTATGCATTGTTGGATAATGGTTCAGACGTTACATTGATAGACGCTAAACTGGCTGGTTGCTTGGGTA